TTTTGTAAAATTTAGTTATTTATTTTTAACCGACTTCCAAAAAAGGAGGAGGTTATCAGTTCGTCGGAATATTTTTTTTTTTTTTTATGTATGTTACCGCATAACTTTGGACCACGTCAACCGATTTCGATAATTCTTTGCATCGGAAAGGTAGTGTCTCAGAGGTGGTCCCATACTAATCTGGTTGAGATCCGATCAGTGGATCATGAGATATATATATATATATATATATATTTTATATGGGAGTTTTTTTTTGCTAAAAATTACTTGTTAACATTTATTGTTGCTTTGAGAAATATATCTAAGATATCTTTGTTTGTTTGTACCTAATTAATGGTAATTTGTAACAATAAATTGTACAGAAAATCTAGCAACCCTAGCATAGTGTGAAAAATATTTTTGTGCCAAAAAAGCTGTCTGCTCTTTAAATCCCTACCGGTTTTGACTATTCTCTTTTTTCAAAAGGTTCGTTAGATACCAATTTTAGTATTAGGAGATGTTGCTACTTTTTTGTATAGTCGTAAAAATATATAACAAATTCAGCCCAAACTAAAGGTCTAAATGCGATTCCTGGTCCCAGCAATGGCGAATTACCGAATGTAATTTTGACATGATTGAAATTGCTGCTACATATTTTGTTGGTAAACATATGCTCTCTCGCATATGATTGCCATTGTGACATGATTTTGTTTAGATTTTTGTAAAGTGGCTTAAAAAACTTACGATTGCTATAAATTTTGCAATTAAAATCCACCATAGATCAGGTATTCACAATACCCCAAATCTTGGAAAAGACCCGCGAGAACAGGATTGACTCACACCATTGAATTTGGTATCCCCGCGAAAGTAATATGGTTGTGTAAAATGACGTTGAGCAATACCATCAGTCCCGCCAGAATTGGGGAGGACCTCTCCGAGCCGTTTGATACCAAACGAGGTTTCAGAAAAGGTGACTCCCTTTCTTGTGATTACTTTAATCTGATGCTGAAGAAGATAATAAAAACTGAACCGCTCAGCCACAATCCTTTACAACAGCGTACAATTGCTAGCGTATGCCGACGTCATCGACATTATCAGTTAAAAAAAGAAGGGCTACGTCTGTTCTGACTTCTCGGAATTATATAGAGAAGCAAATGGAAGGGATCTGTGGGTGAACGAGGACACAAACAGTCAGAGCATACACTTCTTGGCACACACGTCACGGTTGAGAGTTACAAGTTTGAAAAAGTAGACGACTTCGTTTATTAGGGAGCCAGCATTAACACCAATAATAATGTCAGCCTTGAAATCCAACGGAGAATGACTCTTGTCAACAAGTCTACTTGGACTGAGTAGGCAATTAAGAAGTAAAGTCCTCTCTCGTCGTACAAAGATCACACTCTATAAGTCGCTCATCTTGTCTGTGCTAGTGTATGACGCGGAGGCATACACAATGAAAACATCTAATGAAGCGGATCTTGGAGTTTTCGAGAGAGATTTTGCGAAAGATTTACAGGCCTTTACGCGGTGGCGATGGCGAATACCGTAGACGATTTAGTTTAATTCCCATTTTGATACCAAAATATGCGATCACATGAATGGGGAATTTTCTATCTGGTGCTTTCTAAAGCAATATTAAGCCAAGTTTTTCATTAGCAAAGGGGAGAAAACAATTTTTAAAATGTTGACGTAGTCATGTTGCTCCATAGTCGTATTTATTCAGTTATTTCGACACTGACCACAACTTGTTATATCGGCCCAAGACAATTCGGAGCTACCATAGAATTACCAAAAATTCGGTAGGAAATTAATTATTATTATAAATCAGCGCGACTACTTGGTCGCTTCAAAACTGCATACTCAAAAATTCAATTGGGCGATTCCACCGTCACGGGTGGGACATTTGAACAGGAAAAATTGGTCTTTCTTGTTTAAATTTAAGTATAAAGTACTGAACAATTCTACATTTTGATAAAGCTACACCTAATTGACTATTATATGAGTTATTACAAAATAGGTAAAAAATGCCAGCTTTTGTATGGAAAAAATCTGAGTTATTTCTTCTGTCACGGGTGAGACAAAAAAAGAACCTGCTTTTGGGAGCAGATATATTTTACGAAAACTCTGCGAATTTATTTCACTTTTCTGTGTGAACTTGATGTCTTATAATAAATCACAGAACCACGAATGCAAACAAAGCAAAAACTACAACAAAAATGATGGATTTATTATAAAAAAATCCGAAATTCCTCTGTCGCGGGTGGGACAACATTTGTCACAGGTGGGACACGTACGAATTTTTATATGAAAATGAGCTTTTAGTGTGGTCCATATTAAAGATTAGTTATGAAAAGATATAAGAAGCCAAGTAGGGGTTCAATTCACTCACGTTTTATCTTAGTATAGTGCCTTTTATATAGAAGAAAAAGCCTAGCACCATCAGCCAAAAAAGTTATTAAAAACCAACGCGATCTCCTAGCGTCTTGAAATTTTCACTTTTTCCTACTTAAATTTAATACGCTATAAATCTGCATACCTGGAATTTTTCTAGAAATTATGAACAAAAAATTTAAAATTTTTGGGTGTAACTGTTAAAATTTGTGGAAATTTATAATTTTTGTACGAAGTTTGAAATGTTGGTTTATGTGGTTCTGGTTATGTAATATGCTAAACTTTTATAAAAAAAAGTATGAACATTAAATAAACAAAATACCAAAACTGGTCAAAATGTCACTTAACTTGATCAGCTGACCACAAGGGTATATAGGTAATGGGCGAGTCCGCGCTTCCGCCCTTCTCCCCTGCGTCCACCTCAACAAACAAATAAAGCTTATCAGCCCTGTAAATCTACCTCTGGCAACTGTACCACCCGTAGCTGTCACGGGTGGGACATGCTTGACTGTTGAATTATTATCTAACTATGTGGAAACGAAAATGCAATTGTGGTAAACATTGACAATGACGTTCTAACATTATGTAACAAACCCGAAACACAACTCCAACTTCTGCAATTAAATATAATAACTTTTACCTTTTTTTGTCACGGGTGGGACAAGACCAATACTGCTTAATAATAACTCATAATATAGACAAAGCACTCACACAATTTAATACATTATACAATTTTATTAAACGCAGATGAGTTCTAATACATATTTTTCGTACCAAACACTTGAATTAAGAATAGCAAATTATATGACAGTACTTTCAACACATCCTACTTTAAACCTACTCAAAAAATTTACTTATAACTTGATTTTAAAACGTAAAAAGGCAATAAAATGATTTTAAAGCTTTAATTTGTTATTTTTTGGTTGATTCAAGATTTCTATTCATGTCTTATCCACACATTGATCGTTTTATAAAGAAAAAATTTTGTGCTCTGAGGTTCAGTTTCCCATGGAACCTCCCAATTTAAAATGCTTGAAATTTTGATGAAAATTTGTTGAGTTGTTCTAAATTGTGTATAAAAATTAAAACTTTAATTAACATTGTTTTGGTTATAGCATGAAAAACATATTTAAAATAAAGTCACCTTTTGAATGATTGTTTGAGTCACTGTTCACACATAATAAAAACCCCTATTCAGGCTACATGTCGTCCATTGCACTGTTTTCATGTTTCTTTTACTCTTTTTTTAAATCGACCTAATTACCCCGTTTTCGTAATCTCCGTACCAAGAAACATAGAAAATGATGTTGGACACTCATCCCGCTCAAAATGTGTGCTCAACTGTATTCAGCAGATGCCCAACGTTTATTAGTTTTGAGTTTCTCAATTAAACTTTGTAACATGTCTCGCAAAAAAAAAAACGTATAACAAAATTGGCCTTGTAAGTCATTAAATGTTTTCCCATGTCCCTTGTAGGTCGCATGTACGATCCCAGTGGGAAAAGTAGTAATGCATTACCTGCGTGATCAAGAATAGGGATGCAAATTTTGAGCAGTAACATCGGTACATCGATGTTTCGATGCATCGGAGAAAAGAATATCGAGGCTAAAATACATCGCTAGATAAACATCGATATATCGATGGTTTCCGATGTTTTGCAATTTGTTAATTTCTAGTTAAATTTAAAGCAATATTGAATACTTGAATAATTATGAATGTATTTTCCTGTATTTTATTATCCTTTCTATACCCTATTATTAGAATCAAAATGCATTCCCTCGTAGGGTCGTTCGGGCCTAAAGATCCTAGGCCTGATCTTGTTGAAATTCTAAGGGGTATTTGGTTCTGTTTTAACGGCTAGGTTATTAGCATTCAGAATGAATCCAACAATTTTATTGAGCTTGGGGCCGTTTTTTTATGAAAAATGTTGTGGAAAAGCAACAATAATTTACAAAAGTAAGAAGTTATAGCGGCTATTTGGAAGATCACCACATCTACTTATCAGACTTCTTCAACCGCGGTCACTGAGGAGATGTGGTGATCTCCGAAATAGCAGCTATAACTTCTACTTTTTGTAAATTATTGTTGATTTTCAATAACATTTTTCATAAGAAACGACCTCAAGCTCAATAAAATTGTTGAATATAATTGTTATAAGGCCATAAATAACACAAAAAATCTGAATGAATAACAAATTTAAGGTCAGCCAAACATACTGAAAGAAAGTCGGAATGTAATGTATTTCTTATGAGTTCTAGATTCTATTGCTGTTTAATATGTAATCGGCATTCTAATGTATCCAAAACGTCCCAAAAAATTCATATTAAATCACATTCATTCCCTGATACTTGGTAATGCAAAATTGAATGCCCACTTTTCGTAGGAAATGTGCATTTTCGAATGTGATTAGTTTTTTAATTCACATACGCGGTTGCGCATTATCTTGATACGCGGTTTTGCATTTTGTTGATACGCGGTTTTGTACCTTAAACGACGATATGCACAAGATCCTGAACAGCCCTATTATATTTTACCACTGCGATATAAATACATATGTATATGTATATTTTAATTTCTTTGAAAGTTTTCACGATTTAACAAATTGAAGTTAACTAATTTTAATCTAACAGGTGGTCGATTTCCAAATGGCACATGAAGAGATCTTATACAAACAGGAAGAGAAACTTCGTTGCGAATTGGAAGAAGAAAAGCGTGCGGCCTTGTCGCGCATAGAGTTGGAACGTGCGGAAAACGAGCGAAACTTCAAGGAGCGCATGCAAAAACTTGAGTTTGAACAATTAACATATAAGTGTAATAAAGAAATACTGGAGACGGAAAGAAAAGCATTTCACGAAGAGGCCGAAATTAGCAAAGACAAAAATGCCATAGACGCATCTTATACTCCAACTTTTAAATCGAATTTGCTTGACGACATTAATAATATAATGCAACACCCCAGTGAAAAAAGTCTACATAATACACAACTTATGGTATGTACTCTCCCTTTTTATACATCTAGTTTTGTAAATCAATAAGTTTTAAATACATATCGCACACCTTCTGCAAAAGAAAAGGGGCACAAGGAAAAAAATGTGCGTAGGTTTTTTTTGCATAAATCAATTCATAGGATTTACTCCAATTAATGCAAACAGTTTTTTTTTCTAACTATAAAATTCTGTTATACCTGTTTTTTGTAGTAATTGCGTTGAATCTTTACCATCCATAAACAGTTATATTTTCGGATCTAATTTTTGAGTTGTGCCTCTTTTGAATATGGTGTGCGATATGTATGCTTATATGTATGAGTCGATCAGGGATGTTGCGAATATTTGCATTCGCATTCGTTATGCGAATGATTCGCATCATTTTACACATTCGCATTCGTATCCAACGATACGAATGTTTTGCGAATACGAATGTCTACAAGGGCAGAGAGTCCCCTCTAATATTGTTGAAAGGGTTCTAAAAGCCCGATTCTGTGCACTTGATAAATAAAAAAATTTTATAATTTGTCAATTTTTTATTACTTATCAAGAATTGGAATTCTAGCACAGAAATATATTAAAGCTCTTTTCTTGATAAATTATCAAGATTGAAAATGCTATTGACAAGCGTTTACAAGTTCCACTCATGTGGAAATCAGTACCCCTTTTACTTGATAAAAATCTTGATAATGTTTCTTTACAAATAATTTATCAAGAAATCACAGAACTGGGCGGTAAGTCTGTCTAACCAGAGTGCGGACAATAACCGGCTTTTAGCATCAGGCGCTAAACGGTTAAGTAGTAACTATATCAAACAATATTGATGGGCCTTCAACAAGTACTGCAAAAAGTTTTGTGACATTTTTAGAATAGGGCGGTAATGCTCAATTGAAGGCCTATCTTAAAGAAAACCGAGCTCATCTCGGTGAAAATCCTCTCGATTGGTTTAAAACTAAACTAAAAGACGACAAACTGACAGATCTGGCCCGCAAATATTTGAGCGCCCCAGCCGCCAGCGTTCCAAGTGAGCAATTGTTCAGTGCAGCCGGCCTTATATACGAGCCTCTAAAAAATCGACTCATGGGAGAAAAGGTAGCAAAATTACTTTTTTGAAATATAATATGCCCCTTTTCAATTTTGACTAGTACATTAAAACACTGTATAGGTTAAGCACTCGTTCAATGTACTAATAATTTACAAATTTTTTAAGTAATAAAAACGATGACTTAAGTTGATTATAGCTTTTTAATGTTATTCCTAACATTCGCATTCGCGAATGTGAAAAATATGGCATTCGAAACATCCCTAGAGTCGATACATATCAAACCTATCTAGCTCACCATAAGACAATTTTGGGAAATTGTGGTTCTTTCTTTTCTTGTTTTGAAGCAAAATTTCCTTCTTATGGTGGACTTAGGCAGGTGTGATATGTATGTATCAGTAGCAGAGCACATATAATTGGCTGTAATAGCCTTAAGCTAACGCTCTATTCTATATTAAATAGTACAAATTCTTTTCACAGCTTTTACGGAAAAATATATCAAAAAGTTTAAAATTTTCAGTTACAAAATTTTTGTCACCGATACAGAATTGAGCTATTAGTCACCTATAAATAAATACATTCAGGGCTTTCACTTATTCCATCGCAGGTTCGATTTTGGTGAAATCTACGAAAGTGCTATCACTGAATCCGAATAGCTACGAACGTAAATTCGTAATTCGTAGAGAGCCTTCATTGAATCCGTTCGTAATGAAGATTCGTACAGTTAGTCTATGACGAGCCCCTAGGATTGTTCTATATCGAAAAAATATACCCCTTGGTTTTTATTTTGAAATCAAAAAATATTTATAGGGCACTCAAAGCGCTCGAAGTTGTCCGCCTATTTTATATGAAAAAAAAAACTTTTGTACAAATGGTATAGAATTCTTGAAAATCAATATTATTCGATCGGAAAACTCTGGCTCTCTTCAGGAGACTTCCAGGAGACAATACCCAATGGTTTATTTAACCCTGCTGAGATAACTTACGTCAGTGAGACGTATGCTTTTTGAATTTTATTTCAAAATCGCCAAACTAAACGTGATTTTTGTTGAAAATAAGAATAATTTTGTGGGAAAACGCAATCAAGGTTAGGTTAGGTTAGGTTACGGTGGTTGTCATTCCGCACGGAACGGCAGAGATACACATTTAGGCCATTTTGACCCATTGTGACGCCACTATGAACGAGCTCTTGTTCCTTTCCCTTAGTTTCCCAAATGATAGAACCATCGTGTAACTTAACGTATTGTTGAAGGTCGCGGACGTCCACAGAGTTGAGATCGGCTAAACACCGAAAAGCATGCTCATTGAAAATAGCAAGTCTTGACCCTGCCAGAGCGGAGCAGTGGCAGAGATAGTGTTCTACACTATATATGGCCAGATCTGTTTTGTAACAGAACATGTTGGTTCTTTCGCCCAACGTTTGTTGGCCAATTCAGTGAAAATAGATTTCAGTCGGTGCTTACTCGAAGACAGGGGAACGCCTGCATCGAGCGCAGAGTTTGCTGTGCGTAGTTCAGTTCCCCCCGCCAGCTCATCTGCCACGCAGTTTTTCCGTATTCCACTGTGCCTGGCAGTGTTGCCGTTGTGCGACTAAAGGGGCAATTTGACCCTTTTTAAGCGGCAATACCCTTTGACCTGACTTTTTGAATTTTTGATTTTTTGACCCTTTTCCAAAATTATGTGCGACTTTTGCCCCTTTTCAGAGATTTTTTATGAAATGCTAACAGAATCATGCTACTAAAAAATATTTCCTCCCTGTAAGTACGAAAAAATGCATCACTTAAAACTTGTAAGGGAGATGCAACTCTCTCCTTGCAGCAACTAGATTTATGTGTATGTTTGCAACCCTGTTTTGTGCAAAGCGTGTGACCCTTTTTTCGTCAATGACCCCTTTTTTGCGACTTTCTGAAAATTCTCAACGGCAACACTGGTGCCTGGGTACCCATACCACGTTAATGGTGACTTTTGCGGCAAGTTCGTTTAGGGTACTTCTGCATTCGGCAGCCACTTTTGAGGAAGTGTTACTGCACTGTAAAGATTTAATCGCTGCTTGGCTGTCAGAATAAATAGTGACGGATTGTAGACAGTTTGTGCCATTTTT